ACTATGTAATTTAACGAGGTAGATATATTATATTTTAATAGTTAAAATTATATGTTTTCTTAATAAATCTTTTGATTATTAATTTTCTGTTTTTATGTTTGTGAAACTTAATATAACCATAGTCAAAATACTTAAGCAAATCAGAATCCTTATTTTTAAAATTATTTAAAATAAATTTCAGTTTACCATCCAATCTATCCAAAGCATAAATTTATTTAGAATTTATAAAATATTTTAATTATTGTAAATATTGATATGAGTTCAAAAGCTTCTAAAAATTCATTAGTTACTTATGTATGTAATTTAGAATCAGACACTTTAGTTTTTATTTATTTTTTCTTTCTAAGCACAAAAAAATCTTAAGTTATATATAATCTTACTAAATATACTTATATCTCTAAAATAACATCCATCATAAATTCAAATAAGACAATTAATCAAAAATTTAATATATTTAAAATATAAAAGATTATAGTTGAATTCAGAGAAATAGATAGAATCCAATATATCTAAATGATAACTAAATCGTCCGTAAAAACAATAAAACAGACTAAATATAACATATCTAAAATTATTTATATAGTTAAAAGTAATATAATATAAATTAGACATACAAACTATAAATTAATTTAAAAATTAAAGTAAATATCAATGAATTATTATTGTATATTTATTTTATAAATATAGGCAAAATCACCTAGTAAACATATAAAGAGCCGGATTTTCGAATTCGAACCATATCCAAAGTAAAACAAAATTATTTTGGGGACAACAGTCAAATGTCAAACACAGTATCTGTACATTATAGATATAACAAAGAAAGAGGCCGTGTTTTATATTAGTTGAACAGCTGCTATTGAAGGAATTTTCTCTCTGAGTTTCTGAGTTACTGCTACCCGGACGGTCATGACTCCAGCAGCAGGTCCTGTGATTCTTATCTTCACAATCGGTTCTTCAATCTCCACCAGTTCTAGGGAGCCATCTGCTGTTCCGATCAAGTAAGGCCTGATTTCTTCCAGCACCTAAACAAAAAGACCAAATGCTTTAACATCACACATGAACTCAAGATTAAGACATGAAGATCTCTACTTGTTACTGATTTCAAAAGAAAGAAAAAAACACAGGAAATCCCGTTGCCTTTGCTTCTAGTTCTAGTTTCACCTTTAGCAAGTATCAGACTACTGAACTGAGTAAGTGATAACACAACATATGCATATAACTTAAAGCAACCAAGCAGAGCATATACCTTTTCAATGTTTTCGTCATTGAGTTCAAGGCCAGTCTCTTCATCTGGAACAGATTCAACAGCCACAATTTCAGGGATCTTTTCCATAAGGCGACGCTCAATACCCATCTTCATAGTCATAACAGAACTTGGGCATGAACCGCAGGCTCCCTGCAGTTTCACTCGAACAATATTGCCATCGATCTCATGCAATGCGACATTCCCACCATCAGACATAAGGTATGGTCTGATTTCATCCAAAACGCTTTCAACATTCTCCTCTGTCAAGGCTACTTCCAAGGCTGGGTCTGGGGTTGCCACTGCCTTCACAACTGTTAAAATCCAGAGAAAATTTATATATATATATATATATATGATAGATTCATCAGATTATACATGTTTTGGATAAACTAGTTGCTTCTGACGAAGATCGAGTCGTCTTTCTAACCTTGGGATCGTCGACTCGAGAGAGATTGAGATAATCCTGGAAATCGATTACGAGACCTAGCGACGAGACCAAAAGAGCGTTGGGAGCGAGAGGAGCTCAAACTCTGCCATAAATTTAGGTCAGAGATTCGTCGAATTGGATACGCAGAGAAGAACAAAAAGCATATTGAAGAATCCAAAAATCACCTGAGCAGAAGAAAGAAGACGAGAGGAGGAAGGAATAGGGGCTAGGGTTTGTGGTGCCGATGCCGTATTTAGCGCCAGCAATTGCATCTCTCAGCGTTTTCTTTTCTTGTCGGAAAAACCTAATTGATTCTGGAATTTTTTATGACGGAGATTCCCTTTTATCGTTGAACACGTCGGTAGGCCCACCCAATGTGTTGTCGAGGTTATCTCCGTTGGCCTTTGAGACAGGCGTAGAACCAAAAAACACTCGAGTTTATTAATGAGAAATTTGAACTTATGTCTAGGGCTGCGCATATGCCCAATACCCGAACCCGACCCAAAAGAGTCTGGGTCTAAATCTAAACCAAAATAGCAAACTACCTTATGACATATGTTAAATGATAATTTCCTTTAAAAATGTTACACCAACAAAATTTAAAAAATTAATTTTTCTTTTTTTTTTTATAAAATCCTAAACGTAAAATTCTAAAGAAAAAATACTTCCATATAAATAATTATTTAATAATAATATTTATTTTTAAGAATGTGAGTATAAAATAATTATAAAACTTGATTTTCAAATTTGCTAATTAACATGATCTCACACATATCAATTATATTTTAGGTTATAACAGATGTTAAATAACAATTTTTCTTTGAAAAATTTAAACCAAAAAATTTAAAATGTTATTTTTTCTTTCTAAAAAGTCATAAGAAGAAAGATTAAAGAAAATATATTTTTTTCGTTTAAGATAATTACAATATTCAATCAGTTATTATTAAGATAAATTTCCTCACATATTAAAAACATTTAGAAAATTATTTTTTTCTTATAGGTAGTTAATATAGTATTTTCCTGTTAAGAAATATTAAACCAAAGACAACTGTAAAAAAAAAAATTCTTAATTATTTTACAGAATATTAATTGCAAGGTTAAGTAAAAAGTATTGGTTTAAAATAATTACAGATCTATAAGTTTATTTTAATTGAAGTATTCATTTTCTTAAAGGAGCCTATTTCTAAGGTCAAAACAAATATAGGTTTAAAATAAGGATTTTTTCAAAAATAATCTACAAATTCAAATTTAACCCCAAAGCTAACACTTTTTTTTATCATTACTATTCATTTTTGAAAGTTCCAATCTCTCCCTCTGGTTTTGAATTATTTAAAAAATTATCATTATATATTTATTTTTTATTTATTTCAAAAATCTTAAAAATCCTATTACACCCTAAACATTTCTTGAGCTCTTTAAACCTACAGAATTTAATTTTTAACCACTTTTTAAGTATTGAGCAAACAAATCTTCATTTCCTCTCTATTTTCATCTAAAAACTCTAATAACTTTCATTTTCACAAGCATAACTTCATATTTTCGAGCGTACTATATTGTGAGTCGTCACAGTTGCTTCTTTTTGCTCATAATTAGAGCTTGGACGGTGGAAAAGGGTAAGAATGAGCTATACACCGGAAAGGTACCTATTTACATGGTTTTCGTCATTTTCAGATCTGTGTCGCGATAGTAGATTGTTTTGTATGTCTGCGCATACGTTTAGGCTTACACTGCGGTCTACAAGTCAACGCATATGTTAATTTTGCAATTGACCAAAATAACTTCTTTTTTTTTTGTAAAGAAGACTTCCCTGGAATTCTTGAGCTCTTTAAATCTCTAGAAATCAATTTTAACCACTTTTTAAGTTTTAAGCAAACAAATCTCAATATCTTCTCATTTCCTCTCTATTTTCATTTAAAAAACTCTAATAACTTTCATTTTCACAAGCATAACTTCATATTTTCGAGTGTACTATGTTGTGAGTCGTCACAGTTGCTTCTTTTTGCTCATATTTAGAGCTTGGACGGTGGAAAAGGGTGGAAATGAGCTTTACACCGGAAAAGGTACTTATTGACATGGTTTTTGTCATTTTTAGATATGTGTCGCGATAATAGACTGTTTTGTATGTCTACGCATACGTTTAGGCTTACGCTGCGCTCTACAAGTCAACGCATATGTTAATTTTGCAACTGACCAAACTAACTTTTTTGTATAAAGAAAACTTCTCTGGAAGTCTACGTCATTAGATTTGATAACAAAAACCAAAAATGAGGTAGACATACAAAGAAGTTTACGTAAAAGAGGTTAGTTTTTGCATTTGACCAAAATTTTGACTTTTCAATGTAGTTTTCCTCGACAATCTTCAACCTATAGACTATCAGAGAAGTCTACAAAAAGTCTGTTTTTATTTGACCCAAACTTTGACTCCGTTGAATAGGTTAGATTTGTATTTGACTAAAATATTAAAAAAGTTGACCAAAAAGAAAAAAAATTGTAGACTTCAATTTCAGTATACTAATTTCAAAAAAGGTAGACTACACATGAAGTCTACTATTTTATTTTGGTCAAATGCGAAATTACCCCCCCCCCCCCTGTATTTGAGGGTAGACTTCGTGTGAAGTCAACAGGTACATAGACATTTGTTTTACTAACCTAAAGAGAAGACATATTTGGCAGTCTACATGTGTAAACTATAACGAATGTTTACATTTATGCAGACTGCTTATGGAGTCTACGTTTGAAAATATATTAGAAGTGAATTTGTGTATTATTCATTAAGTTTTTTCAAGACTTTTTTGTTTGACAGCGTGTGTTAGTTAATCATAATATGCTTGAGTGATTTTTAAAAGAAAATATGTTATAGCTATGAAATTATGATACTTTTGATATGATAATGTAGTTAGCTAATAATCGTAGACGTATTGGTAACTCTACTTTATAGTTTTTGAAACATGATTGCTAACTATGTAAACCCTCATTTTTTTTACAGGAAATGGCTCAGTTACCTGTTGTATATGGACAATGGGTGCTAAAAAGTTCTTTATGGGAGTTTGTGGTCAATAATAAGAAAGGAATGAGAATGTTTTTTGTGAATGATGAATGTACATATGGTGAATTTCTTGAAATGGCACAAGAAGATTATGATATGGACAAGGAAATTAAGAAGGTTGTGCTAACGTATTCCTTACCAACCGTCATTTTACAGCAAATGGCTCTGGATACTCCTCCTCCTATGCATGTCACGAATGATAGACAACTACAGAACTTGATCAAGTTATCTAAGACACACTTTATACGTCTTTTTGTATCAAGCCAAAGCGAAGAAGAAGCTGGAGTTGATGGCAAGGCTTATGTGTCTGATGGTGATGATAATATTATTGCTGATGAAGCTGATGAAGGGTTGGATGAGGATAGTGATGCTTCTAATGATGTTCAAGCAACTGCTGATGTTGTTGTTGATGTTGATAATGGTGTTAACTACAAGGATTACGGGAAAGTGAAAGATGAGGATTCTGAAGAGGATGTAAATGAAGCGCTTTATGAGGGACATAAAGCACTATGCTCTGGTTCTGAAGGAAGACCGCTGTCCTTGAATAACAATATATATGTCGGTCAGAGTTTTGCTAATAAGGCTGAACTTGTGTCAAAGCTGAAGTCGGTGGCTGTGAAATATAAATTTACATTCACAACATATAAGACAACGAAAAATCTGTATGTTGCTAAGTGTCGTATTCAAGGATGTGGTTGGAAGCTTAGAGCAAGTTGAAGCATGGGCCAAAGACATTTTAGGTGACAAAATATTTGAAAACTCGTACATGTTCATTGATGGATCGAATGGATTAACAGAAACATTATACTCCGAAATATGTTGCAAGACTATTTATAGATCGGGTTGGGATTATAGACAAGGTTACACCAAAGCATATCAAAGACGCGATGAGGAACATGTTTGGGATGAGGCTAGATTACAACACTTCGTAGTGAGCTTTGTTATCTGCCCAAGAGTTAGTGAGAGGAACAACAGAAGATGGATATGAGAATCTGCCTTCTTATTTGCGTCAGATCGAGATGTTGAATCCAAGAACTATCACATGTCTTGAGAAAGATGGTGAAAACATGTTTAAGTATCTATTCCTGTCTTTTGGAGCTTCCATAAGCTGGTTTACCTATCTTAAGAGGGTCATTGTGGTGGATGAGACTCATCTATGTGGAAAGCATGAAGGAGTTATGCTAGTTGCAGTTGCCCAAGATGGTAATTTTCAGATTTTCCATTGACTTTTGCCATTGTGGATGCAGAGAATGATGAGTCGTGGGAATGTTTTTTTACCCAGTTGCAACGTTGTGTTTCAGATGAGTATGATGTGGTTATAGTTTCTGACATGTATAATGCCATTAAGAATGCGTGTGAGAAGGTTGTCTCTTGGGAAAAGCGAGGAATATGCTATTATCATCTACAAGACTACAACAGAACATAGTCTAGAGGTTAAAGGAAAAACACATGTTGTACTTGGTTAAAGGCGATGCTTATGCACATACGTTTTTCAATTTTAACCACTACATGGATAAGATACGAAGTATAAACCCCAACCTCGCAACATATTTGGAGAATGCTGACGTCTCATTATGGTCACGAGTTCACTTTCAAGGTGACAGATACAACATAAAGACTAGTAACATCAGAGAATTTATCAGCTCCGCACTTAAACCAGCCAAAGGGCTCCCCATCTCATTGCTTCTAGAATTTATACGAGAGAAGCTAGGAAGTTGTTTCTTTAAAAGAAGAGAAGATGCTTTGAGTCTCACATCACATCAAAGTGAGACAGTTGAAGAATATGCAGATATGATGAGTGTGGAACATATTGATGGTTGGCGGTTTCTTGTGAGAGAAGGACATCGAGATTGTGTTGTTGACTTGAAACTTCGGAGGTGTCAATGTGGTGTGTATGATATACAGAATACACCTTGTTCAGATGCCATTGCAGCTGCAAAGGCATGCAAATCTCCATATCTCTAGTGAGAGAAGGACATCGAGATTGTGTTGTTGACTTGAAACTTCGGAGGTGTCAATGTGGTGTGTATGATATACAGAATACACCTTGTTCAGATGCCATTGCAGCTGCAAAGGCATGCAAATCTCCATATCTCTACGCTTGTATGCCCATACTATTCAAATAACTATCTTTATGCATCATATGCCGAAAATATCTATCCCAAAAGTGATGTTTTGGAAGCTCAAACAAATGAAGACACATCACCTACCAATGAAGATTTTGAAGCTCCCACAAATGAAGACACATTACCAACGAAGATTTTGAAGCTCCCAACAATGAAGACACATCACCTACCACTGCAGACAAATGAGCTTCTAATACACGTAAATGCCTTCCTCCAGTAGTTAAGTGTGGTCCGGGTAGACAAAAGAAGTTGAGGTGG